TAAATCACAGTTCACAAATGAAAACGTATACGAATAAAATATGCGTAGATTTTTGAATGCATCTAAATTATTTCATAAATCAAGTTCGTCCAGGTACTTGAATTTAATAATTACAGTTGTTTTCACAATTACTGGCTTCTTATGAAATCTAAATAACACGCCTGGAACTTAAGATAAAGAAATGCTTCATGATCAATCTTCAATCGATTCTACGTCTTCCATTTTAAAATGCGGAAATAAATTTTCTTATTTATCAACTAACCCGTAATTATTTTTGAGTATTTTTTGTTTCATGTTTTTCTAGAAAATACATTCTATTGAGTCTGGTTAAAAAAAATAAGAACGATAGTATTAAATAAATAATCCCACGAAACTGAAGTCGAAAGATATTACTTGTTTAAAACTTCATTCGCTTCAAAAACATAAAAATTTTCCAATTTATACGTTATTCAAGCGAGTGAAGTTTTAAAGCAAGTAATAAAATGGGTAGTATTAATTAAATAATCCTAAGAAACTTAAGTGGAAAGATATTACTTGTTTAAAAAACGTTATTCGAATTTCAAAAACAAAAACATTTCCAAAAAACAAACAAATTAAAAAAAAAAATTACTATGTTTTTTAAGCGAATGAAGTGTTTAAACTAGTAATAAGATTGGTAGCATTTTTAAAACCTTTCCAAAGTTGTTATAATAGGCTTGAGAAAGTTTTAAAATTATTCTGAACTTTAAAATTTCAAAATTAGATTTAATAGAACATATTTTAATGAGCAGGGCTATACGTCAAAAAAAATAATTTTAAAATAGCATTTAAAAATGCAAAAAAGAGAAAAAACTTTTAAAATTTTACCAAAATGAATATAAAATAAAAGATAATGTCCTTAAAAATTTCCAAAAACTTGTTTTCTATTATTATTTTTAAAAAAATTATAAATCATAACTCGTAGTCATAAATAAAATAAAAAATAAGGCAAGAATTAAAATAAATATACAACTTATGAATAAAATTAAATGTAAATAAACACATGATAAATAGAAATAAAAATTCATTAATTTTTGGTTAAAATCTTCAAGAACATCAAAATAGTCCTGCATTATCAATTTTTTTTTTTGATATTCTTTAAACTGAAAGATTGCATACTACTCACGTTGCTAGAGAACATATGAAATAACAAGGTTCAATGCATTATTTACTCTAATTTTGATTAAAAAAAAAAAATTATTCACTAGCAAAATTTCTTAAAAGGAAAAAAATCATTCAAGATTAATATAATATGATGAAAAAAAATCTAAAAAATAACACACAAAAAATACATTGCGCTACTAAAAATGTATTCATTATCCCTGTTAATAAATAAAATGAATCAAAAATTATTCAAACATCTAAAATAATTACTTAATAAATAGAATAACGTTCTTCGTAGATTAACGTGGCAAAAATAGAATCTCTTCTTATATCTGAAGAAAACTCTAAATACACATCCTTAAAAAAAATCTTTATTACATCTAAACACTTACTGCCGTAAGTAAGATCTGGTGACTGGGGTGGTTTACGCAGTTGGTTTTGCACATTGTTAAGCAGGAAAGGGCTCACAATACAAGTCGTTTACTTAGGGTCGTTGTCCTGTAGGGTTAAAATCGTCGTTCATCTCAGGCACTAGGCCTGAGATTTTTCTTACAGTAAATTTAACTAATCGGTTTCATTCATTTTTGAATTTATAAATTACAGATTAATAAATTGAACTCTCCTAGTGCACCCCAAGATCGTAACGCAACCTGCTTGACAGCCGGAAAGAGATTATCTAATTTAATCTCGTTTTCTAACGAACTGAGTTAAAAGGATAGAATTTACCAAAGAACACTTGAATTTCGGAAAAGAATAAATTTTCTTTTGATAAAAGTAAATTTTGAAATTTCGGCATTAAAAGACCAGAATATGTCTCAGAGCAAAATTTAGACTACCAATTCTTAACTGTCAAGCAAGAAAGAGCTGGTGCTATGATCTGGCTCTCAAAAAATAAAAATAGTTTCATTTAAGGTACAATTACGTTGTACCATTTATTTTCTTCATGTGAGAATCACATAGCTTATGCACCTCACGAATATATAAATACAAAAAAAGTTTATCCATTGAAAGGTACAAAAATAATCAACGCGTTGTATTTTTAACACGTTTACTGCACTGTCACCCATGTTCGGGTGACAGCAAAGTTTCTGATCGGGACGCGGCACCTATATTCGGGTGACACCAAAGTTTCTGATAGGGCCACGTCACCCGTATTGGGGTGACGCTTATTTGACTTGTAGCTAAGGATATTCGCATGTATTTGAAAATATATTTCACAGGAAGTAACAAAACTATTGAATTGTTAAAAAAGCAATACAAAAATGATTTGTAAAGAAAATTATTGCGAGCCTCGTAAAAGCTTTCTTGTTCACCGCTATTTGGACTCACTAAGAAAAAAGTTTTCCATTTTTCTTTTCGAAATTTCAACGAATTCGGGTCAAGTTTTAAGTTATACTCCTCTTTACTCTGCAAAGATTCAAACTGATCGTGTAAGGTGGCGAGATGAGAAACAGATACGAAGCAATGGACATAAATAAACAGACATGATACCATGGTCACAAAAGGAGCGAGATATTATTCTTGTGACCACTAGAGACTCGCATTATTAAAATATGGGTGGGAGCACTTAGCAGAATACGCTTCGTACAGCGGTACTCGGGCCTGAAGGAGATTTCACTGTAAACCGATGCGCCTCGGTACAGGCTTATCGTTTTCACACTTAATACTTTTCGTAGCAAGATGGACCTAAAATAAGGTGACTAGCGTAAAGGTAAAAAAAAAAAAATTCAGCGTTTGAGTAATAGTTTATTTTTTATACTGAGAAATTCTTACTGAAGATATCTCGCAACTGCTTGCGGTTAATATGGTTTATGCTCAAAACAATAAAAAGAAAGTTGGAACTGTGAAAATATCCTATGGGATTTACATCGATATGGTTGTGTAATGCGGTTTACGTCCAAAATGGCTGGTATTAAGGTTACGTTAGTGGCATTTCATCATTATTATACTATATAAGATCCTTTATAATAAACAACGTTTTTTGAAGAATAAACTGTTGTGAGTAAACACATTTATAACTGTTAGGTAATGTTTTGACCAACTCCAGCCAGTGTAATGTGCTGACTATAAAAAACGGCGCAAAATATCAATATGTTACGCGTCACAACACTTAGAGCAGGGATGGGCAAACTTTTTTGGTCGAGGGAAAAAAGCATGGTGGGCCGAGTAAAAACTTCTAAAATAGAAAAAAAAAACGATATCCAAGTTTTAATTTAAATATTTAATGAGATGAATGAAATTGTGATTTTATTTTTCAAAGTTCCTTATATTTAGGTTCGAAGTGAGATGTGCTTATTTTAAGGCTAAATGCTTGTCTGTTAGTCTACTTCTGAAATTATTTTTTCTAAGGTTCATGGCTGAAAACACTTGTTCACATATATAAGATGAAAGCAAACATAGCTCTGATTTTCTGGGCATGAGATATTAAATTTTGGAAACTAGCTTTTGGTAATGATTTACAAAACTCAAAGTTTGGCATGTTTAGAAACAACAATAGTGTGCAATCTTTCCATACTCGATAAATAATGTTAGAACTCGCACCGGCAGAAAAATCCTCTCGTTGGAGCTTAAAATGCGCTGTCTGAAGCACAATTCACCTATGTTAGATTCCATACGTCTGATCCTCGAGAAAGACAAACGCTTGTTGGAGCTAATCTGTGGCTATTCTATAAAGAACTTCTGCTTTCAGCGTTTTACCAATTGAAGCCGTCTGAGCTAACTATTTCCATCAATTCCACCAATAGAGAAAGTAAAAAGATCATCAGTACTTTGTTAAAAAAGAAAGAACAAAAATAAATTTAAACAAAGTAGACAAAATAATGGATGTATAATGTATCTTGTTTATATTCGCCACGGATCGGCAAGTTAAAATTCTATCCGCTGGCCGGATAAAACCTTACAACGGGCCACAGTTGGCCCATCCCTGACTTAGAAGAAAGTTTTTACTAATGGGCCATTTAAACAAAATGATTCTTAAATTGGATGAATTTGGCGACTTGATAATTTTATGCATGTTACTGTATTTAATATATTCCAAACAAAGCACATTTAGAAATGCGGTTATGAAATGTTAAATAAAAATTGGAAAAATAAAATAAATGTCAATAAAAAAAATTTTGCGACCAATATTTTTACTTAAATCTTCACGTTTTGTAATTAAGTTAGAGTGTAAGTCTAATCGAACGATCGAGTACTGCGTAGAACAAGAAATAAGCTAGAATTAGCAATTTTTATGTTGCGATAACGATCTAATGCTAAACTCTGCGTTTATAAGGAGTTAAAAATATTAAAACATTTGCTATAATTTAACAAATCACTTCATCACTACTTCATTAACGTTAATTGCGATTAATAATAACAAAAATAAATAAATAAAACAAGCTTGGATTACGGGTACATCCCTGGAAAATTCCCTTACGGGTAAAGGTATCCGTGGAAAATGTAAGAAACAAGAAAATGATGCTTAAGAATTTGTAATCGTCAAACCTAGTACTTTTGCTATTACATTGCACTATTTGTAGAGACAAATAATAATATTGCGCATATGAGCAATCACCTATCATTTTTGACCATTTCAGTTCCATTTCGCATCGATTTCATAATAAATCCATGCGGTTTTCGATCGCAAATCCGCAGTTATTGCTATGGATTTCTACGTGATTTTTGAATTTCGATTTTCACCTTTTTTTTACCACAATAATATTATCAAACGGAATCAGAAATTTGAGGATTACACGACAGGTATAAGAGAAGGAAAAATATGATTTCTTTTTTGGGCGATCATTGAAAACGAGAACGAAACAAAACTATAGTCGCCGCTCTAAATAGGTGACAAATATCAAAAACCCTGCACATAAAATACTTAATACAAAGGGGGGGAAAGTACAAAAATCAATTTTATTTTAAATAGAATTCATGTATTTTGTTCACAACAGATATATTAAATATTAGGTAAAAACTCTCGGCAATTGGAGGCACTTCTGATGACGTGTTGAAAAGGAATAAATTGTCATCACCAAAGAGTCACGTTAGTTTTAGGAACCTCTCTTGAGCTAAAACCCATTTTTTATTTCTTTTGTCTTGAGCTACTGTGAGCATTGATGTCTGATGTTCTTCTGAAGATCCCAATCCAGCTTTAGACAACCATGGCCGTAGAGGTACCTGGAACGAATAAAAGAAAATTATTAATATATGCAGGGTGTTTCTGAACTCTACCCTTAGAGAGAAAGTAGGGCATATCAAAGGATTGAGAATTGCATAGTAACTCTGTTATATCTAAAAAAAAATTAAGGCAGCGCCAGCCTAAACAGATTGCAATTTGTAATTGAATCATTTTAATGTTTTATTATTGTTGATTTAACTGGTTGCAGGCTGGATCGCGATAAGCAACTAAATTCCCATTTTCAGATGTTAAAATTCCTTAGGTTTACAAAATTGTGCCAATCAGATTGGTTAGAAGACCTTGTGGGACATAATAAGTTTTCCATACGCAGGTGGCAAGTTGTGGCTTTAGAATGCTCATGTGGTAGCTAAAATATTTAAATTACTTTCAATTGTAAGTCAAAATTACTGTGGCCTAAACATTAATTTTGAAAAAAGAAACACAACCCAATTTTATTAATTTTAAATCGTTGGTAACCACTAGGCGAGATAGAGTAATCGAGAATTATTTTTAGATAAAATTGTCAAAGAAGGATTAAACTATTTCCAAATAAGTGCGTGTTTATGGGCAGGCAGCTCGAGCAAAGTGGTGAATATTTTTTTGTCAGATTTATTAAATCTCCAATTTATATACTCACAAGCAGGAAATATATTCCCATCAAAAATAGGAAATGAACATTTGTAACCGGTATTTTAGTTGGACAAAAACAGACTTGGAGGACTTTTTAAAAACATATTTTGTAGGAGGGAAATGATTGTAGGAATTTTATTATCATTTCTTTTTCAATGCATAAAACTACCCAATTTTTAAAAAAAATGGTTACGCAAATTAATTTTTAGTGCTTTAGTTGAACTAAAACGTATAGTAAAGCCGTTCTAAAGATATTTTATTAAATTATTATTTTTATTCTAAGATATTTTATTGAATTTAAGAGCAACTTAGGATCCGTTTACTCATTGTCAGCAAAAAACAAAAAATAATAGATCACGGGTCGGGATAGTCGTCTGATTGGTAGGACATTAAGCTCGTGACAACAACCGCTTGTTTCTTTGACTTATAATAATCTAATTGAAAGAATTTTTGAACTAAAAATTAAATAATTAATTTAATTTAATTAGTTTAAGGAACAATATTCAATGCCATGCATTAATAACATAGCATAATGGACTATTCATTATGTTTTTCATTATTCTATGTTTTCTTCCTAATTTTTCTCTGTTTTTAAAGATTTTTTATCACACTCTCTTGCTCAAAAAAAGTGGGTGTTGTCATTTGAAACTTTATCACTGTAGCTGAAACCGTTGATGGCTAGGAATCGTTTATAACTAAATTTTTGAGAGCATAGACATTAGCATATTCTTAACAAAAGAAGAAGAAAATCAAAATTCTATGGGCGTATGATGATTTTAACCTACAAACTGACAATTCCCCCCCCCATTCAATAATCATGAGGCGAAAGAAAAACCAACGCAAAGTACTCAATCAGGCGGCAACAGTAGAAAAACAGAAATACATGTAAAATAATAAGAATGCAATAAAAACCACTAACAAATTAGTTACTCAATTGACCCCACTCTCCCCTACTACAGTAGAGGATTAAAACTACAATTCACCACACAATCTACGAAATAAATGTCAACAGGAAGAAAATTGCTGAAAAGAAGAAAAAAACCAAACATCAAATCATTTATTAGAGATCTGCCCGGGGCATAGGCATTATCTCGTCACATAAAACTGAAATAACGCGATTAACGGAGCCTGTCAGTTTTTTAAGTAGCCATTGACAGAATGTACATAAAATAGTCGAAGTACTCCATTCACTAAATGATAGACGAAATTGTTTAAAACTCGGGAGTACTGAAGATGGTGGTTGATTATAATAGCAAGCGGGAAAATGAAGACCAGCCGAAAAAAGCTTTCTAAATATTATTTTCGCCTCTAGACTGTCTGCAGACGCTCTAATGATCGACCTGGGTTAATCGGCTGCCTAATGGGATAATTTCACCGGCAAAAAAATAAAAATACATATATATAACTTTGAAAAGTTTTTGTTAAAAAGAGTATATGGTACGAAACACGCACACACTATGACATTAATTAAGCATAAAATTTTTCAACTCCTGCTGCAATTGGTGAGAAGATCTTTACCCCTATTTATGAGATCCCCCCCCTCCTATTATTTTCTTTAGAGTTTGTATATACCACAACACATCAAGGTTAATCGATTTGAGAGAAGTCAAAACAAAAATGAATGTAAAATTGCCAAGTGATTGATCTCCTTCGTTTAGAAAACTTTTTTTTTCCCAAGGCTGTCTCGCACCAAGGGAATAATTCTCTTAAACAATGAAAAAAATTTAAATGAGTAATTGATTATTCATGAGATAGCGTCTGCAAATTTTGAGGATTCTTTGTTGCATCTGGAAAAATGAAGATTTTATATGCCAGAAAGTAGAACACTGAGAGCACATAGAAAGTTATATAACTAGTTTAAACTTATAATTTCTGAATTTTTAATACAAAATGAATAATTAAACTTAAAAGTTATCTAACTATTTTGCATGAAGAAATAAGTCTGAGGGTCGTTGTACTGAAATCGTTGTTTGATAAACTGTTTAAGCGCACATAGCTAAAATATTTATCGATATAAATTTTTTTACTTGTGCTACCCTACGAAGAAGGAAAACATTTTCTTATTTTCGTTGGAAAATTTACATTTCTCCAGCTCATAAGCAATGCTTATGAGCTGGAGAAATGTAAATTTTCAAACAATCAGTGTTTTCATCATAGAAAAAAAATGGGTGAGAATTTCTCACCCTTTCTCAAAAACAGGGTGAGATTTCAAAAAGTTAAGTGAGATTTCTAAAAACTAAAAAAACACAAAAACTCTTTAAAAAAATTATTTTTTTAATTATAATAAATTTTTAACGTCTTCTATTTTTTAAAGCATTGAATATTTTTGGTGCATCATCATAGAAGATTTTGCCTTTACAAGGTATTTGTCCATCTTACATAAGTGCATAAAAAATTTGAACGTCTTACATGAAGAAACCTTACCTACGGTAAACACGTGGTTGCAGAGAAATGTGTTCTGAAAGGGGTTCCGTGGTTGTGTTCTGTTGTTCGAAAAGGTTCTGAACAATACTGGTAAATAGGGAAGCTAGATAATGGGGCAGATGTTGAAAATAATGAAAGATCCAGGAAGAAAAGTGAAACGGATTTTATTCTAAATGGCGTAATTCGAAGCTTTTTCCAAAATGCGAGAAATTCGCGAATTTTGAAATTGATTTATAGAATGCGCGAATTTCTCGCGGTAATCATTTTTTAATGCGAGAAAAGAAAAAAATGTGTGAGATTCTCGCGTTCTCGCGCTGTAGTGAAAACACTGAGCATTTACACCATTACAAACATCAGGAGAAATATACATGGTGTAAACTATGGAGACCAGATTTGTAAACCATGATTAATAAATTGCGTCCTCAAGAAATTTTATGATTCGAGAACACCCATATATTTGTGGAAAATATTAATTTGTGTGTGCAACAAATTTGTTAAAAAAATTTTTTAATAACAAATAATTTGCATATGCAGAGCCACCTTCATCAAGCTTGATATTATAACTAAGCAGTTTTGATATATCACGTGAGATTCTGTGTTTGTTTTTCACTTATAAAATACAGAAGTTCATGATTTTTTGAATATTTTTAGCTGAAATTATTTTCAGACGATAAGAAGTTTCCATAAGTTAGTTTTAGCTTGGTATTTCTTTTGCTTTTCAATAGTAAGACAATATAATCTATAGTAATATATTTCTTTTTATATATAAAACTAGCTGAATACCTGTTTTTCGCAAGGGATGAATAAAACCAGTACTGAGAAACATTACGAAATCATGCTCAGAATTGAAAAAGCATATACCGACACAATTAAAGAGCTTGATGCAAGCACCAGGTAAGTAAAATTTTTAGGGAAATTAATGAATCACTGCTTTCGCCTTCTTCTAAATCTTAACATAACTAATCACATAAATTTTTAGTATGCCAGCATGATTTTTATTTCAAATTAAGCAATAAGGTTTTATTTTTTAGTGATTAGGTTTTACTTTTCAGGTCTCACTTTTACTCAGGTTTTACTTTTTTTTTATTTAATATTATTCTTTGCCTTTTTTGGTAGCTCTACGTTATTGAAGTAAAACTTCTTGTTTTTTGTTGTTCCTCCCATTAGAATAAAGATAAAATGTATTTAGCATCACTTGGCACGATGCTATTACTCGGGACCAACCCATAATAGTTAAAATTTACCACTATCAAATAATTTTTTCCGGTACATATTACTTTCGAGGGGCCGTAAAACACTTCTTCAAAAGTATCGGTATTTAAACAGCTTAGTATTGGTTCTGTTTTAATCACCACTAAATATATCATGTTTAATACCTACATTAGTATATTTGGTACTTATTACATAACCCTTCAACATTTAAGCGTTGAGAAAAATATATTTATCAGTGAAAGTCAACTAAAGCCGAAATTTTTTTAAAAAATAGAATTCTTATTAAAACTTGATAAAGATTTTGGAGCCTAGCTATTTCTCTATCTAACCTTTAATTTACTGTTAAATTATTTATTTGTGAAAGAACAAAGTTCTCATTCCTTATCAAAGGGTGNATCAAAACAGCACCAATTACCATAATACCAGAAGTACATATTACGGTCAATAGTACACAATAATTAAGAGTCATTTGTGGATGGCGATTTCCAACGGTCTTCCTTAACGAAATTTTTATTAACCTTTTCTCCTTTCACTTTGCTTTTTAGCATATAGCTTATTTTATTTTATTTCAATTAATACATATTATCAATATTAATAAAGCATTAGTATTAGTAATAATATGCTACTCCTCCAAAATGAATCAGTATATCTTTTCTCCATTATTTTTGTTTTTCAGTACATACATTTTTTTTAATATCAATCAACATATTACCAACATTAATGAAGCATCATTGTCGTCATTGATAGTATGATGATTTTTTACGGTTCTAAACAAATAAATATCTTAACTTCATTACTTTTGCTTTCTTTTATTTCAATATGCATATAGGGGAGAGTCGGGTAGCCCCGCCCACTTAAGGAGTATTGCTTATATATCTGTATAATATTGAGTAATAATCAATATTTTTGTATGTTTCTATAGTTTTACCATCTAATTAAATAATGCAAAAAGAATAAACCAAAAAAAGTATAGTTTAACTTAAAAAAATAGAAATTTAAAAAAACATGTTTTTCAGCTCTTTTCAAAATGTGTCGGGTAGCCCCGTCCAGTTTCAAAAATTATGTTTTTTGACTGTTTTTTCGGGTGTAAATGAAAGTGACCATAGATAAACCTCAATTATCATTTTTATCACAAAATTATTTTATTTATTACATATTTATATACTTTTAGTGAATTCTATCATTTAATACCAATAATTTAATAACAACAATATTTGTTGTTAAAAATGCATATAACATTCAAATTTGAAGCAATAAAATAATAATCTTTGCAACCGTACATTTATCGACGAAATAAAATTGGGCGGTGATATCCGACATTCATGTGAGCGAGGCTACCCGAAATCCAATTTTTTTGTAAATTTGTAACTACTCGAACAATTTTTCACATATTAACTTCTTTCTTCGTGCAAATTAAACTTAAGACTACATACTTTAATGCTGTATGTATAGAAAAAATAATTTTTTTAGTATTAAAATGAAGTTTAATCGAAACATTCAACCAATTTTTCTTAATTTCATGACTACTGTATTCAACATATTTTCAAAACTATTGTTTACCATGTTAACAGCTGCATAAATAATTGAAACTTTGAAAATAATCTATTTTTAATATAACAATTAATATCCGATGGCCCATTGATTTGAAAAAATATTCTATACATATGAAATTGACTGTGGGCGGGGGTATCCGCTAGGCGGGGGTACCCGACTCTCCCCAATTACCTAAACTAATTAAGCATCATTGGCATCAATTATAAGGAGATTTTTTACGTTTCACCTAAACAAATAAATATAACATTCCCATTAATTTTGCGATTAAATACATAAATATTTTTTTTTCTATTCAATTACCGTTGATTTTAAATAAATAGTTTTTTTTTAAAAAACGTTTTAAAAGAAATATAAATAATAAAAAAGTGCGTGGTATCAGACGTAGTGCGTGACGTAGACCTAGCGTGTTACCACATAATGTTGTTCATTGAATTTATCTGACATAGCTATGGCTACTATACTAGGATAGATAGTGTAATTCAGGGGCTCTAGACATAGCGAATATAAAATAATTCTCTATTTGAATACAAGCAATAAACTTTTTTTTTTATCTAATAGAGCTATAAGCTAGAAATTATCACTGATGTTATTCTTAAAATATGTTAAAAACTGAATTGTCTATAGTTAAATTTAAAACAATGACTAACGTTTAACCAATCAGAATATTCCATTTCGTTTTTCGCTCATCCCGTTCGAACGGTTCGTCGTAGAATATTCTAATACTGACAGTGACCTTCCTCTTGCTTCAAACTATCTGTTTGCCAAGTTTCATCGATTTCGGTTGGAGAAGTTTATAAAGGACACACACACCTACACACAGACATTTATTTTCACATATATAGATAAGTATGTTTAGAAATAATAAATTATTACAGCAATAATTTGTGGCTTGTAGTAAATAGTAAAAATTACAAGTTGTTGTAAATTTAAAACATTAACACATTTTTAAAAAAATAGATAAGTAAAAAAAAAATCCAACACAAAGTTTCTCTGCACTTCAACACTAGGGGACAACAACCTTAAATTAAAAACAAACTTTTCTTGTGACGAAAAAGAGAGTGAAGAAAAAAAGAGAGTAAAGAAAAGAAGCAAAACTAATGTTCAAAGAAAAATCTCCGCCTCGTTCACCTACTGAAAAAGAAATTAAATTTCAAAAAGTAACTACATTGTAACATTTCAATGTAGCTACAGATGATTGCTCTTCCGAAATCAAGCAAAATGAGTTTATCAGACAGTGTTAACTATCCACAGTGTATAATTTTCTCATTAAGTTATATTCATAAGGACTTGGTGTTCTGTTGATCTTTTACACCGTTTAAAGCGAGAGATAGTGATAAATGATTCGAACTATTGCCTTTTGGGAAGACTCAAATGCTCATTTTCTCTGACAGAGAAAAATGATTCCATCAACATGATGAATGAACCTTTCTGTCAAATGAAGAACCACAAAACCATTTAAGTCTGTCGCGGAATACAATAAAAGAATGCGAACTCGCTAAACCAGATTTTAATTTTATTTTATTTGTGTTTAAAATAGAATTAGATATAAATCGACGTACAGGTGACAGGATAGCAGAAATTAATACTTTGTTGCTAAAACTAATTAATGCGAATCGAATCGAAACCTTTTCCGTTATTAATCATTTTAATCGACAATTGGGCATAGTTTGTCTAGAATAAGAACTCCCTTAGCCATTCGTCAGGACTCGTAGCGGTGACTATGGTAACGGGGTATAACTATTGCAAGTAGGGGTGTGGTGTCATTGTTTAGGATAGGTTTTGGCTCGGGTCGGCGAGTGTGTTGATTGTAATTAATAAGTCCAACTTCATTGTTAGCAGTAATACTTATTTAAATACACTAGTAAGCAATAAACAGTGCAAATTGCTGAGTAATACAATACTGAGCAAGCAATAAGCTGAGCAAACTACTGAATAATACTGAACAAACAATTAAACTCAGTTTTAATTTAAATCGAGTTGATTTCAAACAGAACTTCTTTTCAGAAACATTCCAATTTTCTGGAATTTACTAAAATGTACATGTTACCGTAATGACCGAAATCAGGAGAATGTCGACTTTCGCAGCTGAATGTCAACAATCACATAGTCGCTTTGGTGAATGTCCGAAATATTTGTTATATCCGATTTGATATTCATTTATTCGTTGATATTATTATATTCATTCGATAATTTAATATATGATGAGGATAGATTAGGAGAAACATCAGTGTTCGGACTACCGGTTAAATACATGCTGAGTAGTGGCACTGAAAATTTAAAAAAAAAACATCAGTGAAGGGTATACCAGGTAATGGCACTTAACTAGACCTAGTATATATTTAGAACATTTACCAAAGCGATTATGTGATTGTCAACATTCACCAGTGGAAGTCAACAACCACCAATTTCGGTCATTCACAGCAATGAACATAACAGTTAGAAGAAACAGGAGATCATGAGAAAATGGCAAAATCTACTAGTCAACTGCATCATCATCTATCACAATCTCTTGAAAGAGTTTAATAAGAATAATTACCTAGTAGAAAAATAAATATTGCGTCTCTTAACCTTGATTTTGTCCAACAAGATAATCCTCCGAAATTCGACATTTAATTTTCTCTCGGTTAACTAAGCTTTGCCTCATCAGTTAAAATATTTTTTTCAATCACTAACATTCGAATATTTCAATACATACACAGGAAGAAAAAAAAAATTTACAATCTCCAATCTCAAGACTTTGAAAAATGTTTTACAATTTTCCTAAAGATTAAATAAAGATCACGCCGAAAGGAAACTCGGATAACAACATTACTGGACAAGCCAAGACAAATGATCCTTTTAACGTTGTTTTTAAGAAGCAGAGCTAAATCCAACAATTTAAAGAATGATTTTTCTCCTGGACACTATAAGCAAAACGGATTCGGTTGGGAAAAAAGGAAAATTTGAAACTGTACGGTGAACCTTAAGATAAAAATGATGATATCGACAAGAATAGATGTCAGGAACAGTTAGACTTAAATAGCAGTTGAATTCGAACAGTTTAGTAGCACAGTTTTTGTTTCATCCGTTCTAAAAGTTAATTTGAATCTTTGTCCACTAAACTATATGTTCCTTAATGATGTAATGTA